CATGTTTTACTTTAAATGGGCAAGTTCAATTATTATTAAAATAAAGATCATAAAAAAATTTGTCGCAAAATTTAAAATTTCCCCATAAATTTCATTATTCACAAAAAATTTTGAGCCTAAAAAATTTATGATTATACAGTATATTTAATAATCTTGTGACTAAAGGAAGTTATGATAGTACATAATGAATCCTGGCTTTACCATAACAACCACTGCATCTGATTTACATGCACCATATTACCAGATGAATGTAGATGTGTATTGTACATGTAAGACACAAATACATGTACAAATTAAAATTCCATATAGGCTTTAGTCTCAAGCAAAACAAAGGGAATGAAGTACCAATGAGTACCAGAGAGTCTGAGACTCAAAGAGACATCTCACTGAAGGCCATCACTCTCTTACTACTAGACACCCCCCTCTATCACTGGAGGGAGAGGAGACATAATTAAATACATAGTCATCATATCCCATGACACTGGAATTGCTCTAATGTAAGTCAAAAAAATATTTTAAAAAAATTTTTTGCAATGACTGGGCAATCTGGTCCACTTAATATTGGTAATTATAATTATAAAATAATATTAGAATATGAAAAATACCATAATTATTTTAATAAACAACAAGTCGGTTATTATTAGAATCACAAACATACAAGAATCCATCTTTATCAAAATTTAATCCATAAGGAGTACTGAACTGATCAATATTACAGCCATAAGTTCCAAACTTCTTAACAAACACACCATCACTAGTGAAGACTGATATACAATTATTGCCCCATTCACTAACATACACTAGACCAGTAGCTGCAGTGTCTATTGCTATACCTACTGGACCAATAAGCTGTCCAGGACTAGATCCTTCAGTACCTAACTGACCCACAAATTTTCCATCTGGAGAGAACTTCTGAATACGATCATTACAATAGTAAGCAACATACACTAATCCTTGACTGTCAATAGCAATGTCAGATGGTAACTGAAACTGTCCATTAGCTGATCCTTGACTGCCAAATGAATGAGAGAAGGTTAGATCAGGATTCAAGACTTGTATACGATGATTACCACTATCAGCAACAAAAACCTGTCCTGTTATAGGGGAAATGGCTATGCCGCAAGGAGTACTGAATTGTAGTAGTCCACTACCCTCCTTACCAACTGATGCTATATGGTATCCATCCATGCTTATCTTCTGAATCCTGTGATTATCAGATACAAGAATGAACTTGCCTGGAGTAATGGCTACACCACGAGGATAAGAAAAGGTGACATTACCACTTCCTCCTTTCCCTCCTAATGATTTCACTTTCTTTCCTTCTCTATCTAGTATTGTTACACAGTTACCATTACGCTCAGTTATTATAACATGATCATCACTTACAGCAACTCCAAAGGGCCACTTAAACTCAGTTATAGTACGTACTGGAGTGATGCTACCAAGGTAAGGATTTAAAGGGATGACTAGTGAGGTATCCTCAAGGTGTGCATCATATACTTGTACTTTTACTGTATGAGCACCACTAGTTGAAGGGTAACACTGTATCCTATACACTCCAGGGTCAGTGCTTGTGGTAGTGACTATAGTGTGAATGGGCTGATTACCTTTACCAACTGGTATTACACTACACCTCAGAGCAGAAAGGGGAACACACAAAAGGCATGAATCTGGTGCCTCCATTGATAGTGAAAATGAAACTGTTTTGCCAGCAGGTGTAATAACATCAATCTTCTTCACGCTACACTGATGTAGTGCAGTAGATGAGTAGGTCACAATATCTCCAATGTGATGCAGTGATTTCATATCTTTACAAAATACAAAGTCACCTTTTTCCTTTGGATATAACTCCTCCACATTGATCACTGCAGTAACTTCACTGATACGCTCCATCATCTGTTTCTTAGACCGCAGGACTTGTTGAGGATTGCCTGTCTTCAGACTCTGTTCCACATAATCCTCAACATCCTCCAGAACACTGAAACTCATTTCTGCTGATTCTATTTGCTCTGACAGCACCTTTAGTTTATCATCAGTGACCCTCTTTGCCTGCTCAGCCAGTTTCCTCTCTGACTGACGAAGAACAGCAATCATTTCCTCTACCATTTCATGTATTTCTTCTAAGACTCCTTCTCCTCTCTCTCTGATCTCACCCTCTCTCTCTGCTAGAGCAGACAGAACCTTCTTGAGTGCTCTTTTCTTTCCCTCAACTGGTGATAGACATTCTCTTAACTTTTGACAGTGTTTAGTATAACTGTCAGTGATTAAGTCATATTCATGATATCTGTGATTACGAACTTGACAGGTAACACAGATCACTGCATCACATGTTTCACAGAATAACTCTAATGGTTTTCTATGCTCACTACATGTGGCCTCTTGAAGATTTGACAAATCTGCTGTCTTCTTTGTTAGACTGTACATTTCTTTGAGGTCGTTGAGGAGGAATGCTACAGGAAAGGCTCCTGCTCCTTTTTTTGGTAACTCTGTATGATGACGACAAGTGGGACAAGAGAGGTAATAGGTTTCATTCTTCTTATCCAGAGGTAATCCCTCCAGACAGTGCTGACAGAATGAATGTAGACAAGGTAAAGTCTTAGGGTTGGTATAGTGGCCAAGACACACAGGACAGGTGAGCCGCTCCTCCAGTTTGAGTCGGAGACCAGAAGATGGTTTAGTTGCCATTTCAAGAAAACAATAAAATTGTGTATGTAGAGCAAAAACGAAAATGAAGAAAGATTAAGATAGAATACAGAAAAAGAAGATAAAGCAAGGAAATGAAGAAATGAAGAATTTGGAATGAACGAGAAGAAGAGTAGATTGAGGAAAGATAGCCCTGATGACCTCTTGGAATGTTCTATAGTCTCGTGACTAAAGGCAGTTATGATAATACATTCCTTTATTATAACAACCAGCAGTCAAAGGTGAATTTACGTGTACATTGATGAATGAGAATAAATAACAAAATAGGAACTGAAATTCTGTATCTTTATTGGCACATGGTACAGTTTGAAAGCTAATTTGCAAATAACTATTTAAAGAGTAACTTAACCCTAATTTTTTTGCCTGCAAAAGGGCATAAAAACAACATAAAATTTTTGATCTCCCTTCCAATATTAAACCCATATATCATTAAAAGTACATGCTAATAGCAATGACTGTGTACACAAAAGTCACCAAATGAAAAACTGGCAATTATTACAACTGGATAGTCTTGAAGAATTTGCATTTAATATTCATAGAGTGGTCTATCATATATTACTGACCACTGAATACATGTACATTACATATTTACAATAACGTTTATAAATAAAAACATGTAGATGTACATGTACATCAATTATTGAAGATGTAAATATTATAGAAAACTGAAGATCCACCCACTCACCATACCCTGACCTACATGTACATGTAAACAAACTTAGATGTAATTCGCTATAAATCAATAGTTAATTATTTAGATAATAATAATAATAAATTTATAATTGGGCGAAGCCCACTAAGATGAGAATGAGTTTGTCTGTCTGTCTGGGCAGATTGTCAACTATTATTAAAGCTAAATAGCCTAATCTTCATTGAAAGCAGGTGTGGTCACAATAAAATAAAATGGCTGCTACTATGTTCATTTGCGCAGTAAACGGTCAGCAAGATAAGACTTTTAACTGCTATTCAAAAACTTCTCTAGTTGCAAGGAAGGTCATACAGCACAACAATAGTGTTGCTTGTGGGCTGAGCCCCTTTAAATCTTTTACATTCTTCTACTTATTAAATTCAAACCTGAAAACTACATGTACATGTACAAGAATAGTTCCGGTAATACGTGGATAGTCATCAATTATTAACAAGAGGGTGGAGTCACAATCAGGTGTGAAGTCATTGTGCAATAGATTGTGTCTTTTATCGGTGACAGCAACTGCACATAACATGTCAATACAACATAAAGAGGATTAACCAAATCATCACTTGCACACACACGTACAGTATGAGTGGAAACTGATCTGTGCATAATAAAAAAGAGAGAGCGGAGAATTAAAAATACCTTCTAAATGACATGTACATGTACATGTAAATGTATGAGAAACCACATATTCTGTACATGTACATGCATACATGTTGCAGCTCAATAAAAACTTTTAAAAGGTGAGCTGGTCTCATTGTTTCGTCCAGGAATGCCATACTGTACTTTCAGGAATTGAGTACATGGTTTATTTAAGTAACGTAGCAGTTTTTAAATTACAAAAATCTATTTTCTTGTGGTCATTATAAGATGAAATTAAACTAACTTTTAATGTGAATGTAGAGTATCCAACCAAATGAAACAACACACTAGAAGTACAGGAACATGACCTACAGAGAGGTGAGAGAGGTATGTTATTCAATAGTAAATGGATCAATACTATTTATTATCTGTAATATTTTTTTTTCATTCACACTATTTGGCATAAGATCAATTATACTGCAGTCACTATAATTTACACTACATGTACATGTAGTACAAGGAGTAGTGCTGACTCGACCAGTTAACTAAACCAGTTTATACAAGGAGATATGTCACTGATTAACAAGCACCAGCAAGCAATGTACATTGTAAATGTACATACATACAGGTTTCCTACGGGCAAGTAGCTTATTTGAAATTTTAAAGTGGGTCAATAATCGGACAAAAGTCCATATACCATAGTACGGGGTCATAAGTCAAATTTTGTAAAATTAAGAAGGAAAGAAATTGTCCATTTTAACATTTTCCTGTAAGTTTAAGCTGATTCTGATCAAAATTGAATTTTTTACAAATTTTTGAAGTTATTGAAACACCAGGTACAAGCGCCTGTACTATATTACAGTGTGTAGATTCTCCCACGTAAACAGAATAATGAACCCATTGATGTCAAAATGAGAATTCTCAGAAACAATATCCAAAGACATTCAGTATAATGAAAGCACATTTACATGTACATGTACATGTGTGCATGTATTGTAATTGTACATGCATGTACTATTAACATACTTTCATTAATCTGTCCAGTAGTTCGGCTCCATATCTCACATTGGAATCAGATGCACAAGATAACTGGAAAGGAATAAATAAATTAAATTAAGTTTTATGGCCATAATTTAAAAAGATTAAGTCGGAATTAGTTTAAACTTTCTACACAGTATAAGGACATCAATATGTATCAAAAGAGTAAAAATAATTTTGTTTGATTTGAAATCACTTTTTGAGTAAAACATGGACTACAGTACAGGTTATTTTCAAAATGATACAATAATGATTACTTTAAAACCACATCCCTTAAACCACACCCTAACCACACCTAGCTTACAAAGTCCATTAAACATCGCATTAAAGAACACAAGAACAGCTCCTATGGCAACTTCAGAAATATTGTAAAGAGACTCACAAGCATAATAACGAACACGAGCATCCTGAACATTAAAACAGATCAACACTGGCTGAACTAGCTCCTGTAGATTCATACCAATACAAGACTAAATGAAGAGAAAGAGAAAGAGAGAAGTAAAAAATAAGAAAAATATGCTATCATACATTGTAGATCATTAGAGTGGTACAATCAATTTAATGATGAAAATTCACCACAAAAATACAAGTATTGAAAGAATTTATGGTACATGTAACATGTAAGGCACAGGGTACATGTACATCTCAAATTGTATTCTTTCTTACTTGGAATAATATCTGAACAGTTCCATTAATGGCACAAAATGGCAGAGAAGGAAGGAAAAGCTCCACAATGTGATTAATCCATTGTTTCAATATTGCGCATAATCTCAGGAGTTTGATGAAATTAATAACTGAGAGCATTAGGAACAGGTTGAGACTGAAATACACATAAAGAAATGAAATTAAAAATGAAACACCAGTGTTAGTCGTACGTAAATGTACATTGCACATACATAAGGCATTTCAAAATTGGCACCATTAAATACATTTACACATACATACATCAAAAAATATAGATAGAACTGAGGTTGGCCCATTCCTCAGTGGTAGGTACATCATGTACTTTTACTTTTCTACAATCAAGCATGTACAGTACATTATACATGTAACTGAAAAACTTCGCAAAAATCAGCCCAAACTTTCTACATAGCATAATGACATCAGTAAGTATCAAAAAATGTAATAAAAATTTGGGGTGTCTTTGGAGCCACCAGAATGACCAGATGACTATACTTACAGTAAATAGGTGAAAATGATGTAATGAACAAAATTCTAAATAGATAGTAAGAGCCAGCAAGTAACTTTCTTTCATCTTGATCCACTGATGAAGAAGATTCAGAAGAACTCTTCCTAACTTTCAAATCTTCTGAAGACTCCTGAGTCTGCTCCTAGCTCCGTATATCTAGACATACTTTCGAATATTCCAAAACTCGTGCTATCACGTGGAATCATAGATCAAGATCTAGATCTAGCTAGATCGGGAAATTTAGGGAGAAATTTAGGACTTATCATGAATCCTTTCAATGATAAGGAAAAAGATTTCCCTGATTGGAATTCTGTATTTAGATCTACGAGCACACCTATGAAATTTTTTTTAATGGTGAGATTTAAGTCCTATTTTTATTATAATGGGATGTAGATCTCTTCCTCCTGTATGTATTTTATCTCTGTCTTTTAGAAAAAGACATTTTGGTCAATTGATAAATTGGCTCAATTGGTTTGTTCTTGAATTAATAATGAGCATTCTAATTGTACCTTTTTTGTAGAAACCAGTTGATATACTATCAGATGCATGTAGTCCTGGTGTTGCGGCAATGAGGTATTTAATTGTGTGTGATTTAATTTTTAATATGTAACTCATTTTATACTTTTAGTTTTGTTAACAATGCAGAGTCTCAAAGAATGTCAGATGAGGTGAGGGAAAGGCGGGAGGGAAATGACTGAGTGAAAAAGTACAAAATTTTAATGATCCATTTTGCAAAATAAAATTTTTATCAATTATCTGTACATATGTACCTTTCATAGTCCCAGAGATATCACCAATAACTATATTAACAGCTAGGATCTCCCATACATGTAGATAGTAGACACGATCTATGGATCTCCTGAAGTTATTGGCACCAGGAAATAGTGGGTGGGTGTGCAGGAAATGACGTCACACGTTGCTTTGAATTAGCTTAGGAGTCCCTAGTTAGCTATGTCCCCTAGTTATGTTAGGACTTAGGATTCCCCTAGTTTGCTATTGTTTTAGGGTTGGGTTTAGGGTTTATAGTTTTTTAAGAACGTTTCCTAGGTGTTAGAAGTCCCTAGATTTTGTAAGATCATTTCAATTTAACAAGATCATCTTAGTTCTTGAGAGGTGTGATACTGACAAGATTTAAGTGAGGCATGATCTTACATTTTCTGAAATATTCCTTTATTGTTAAGATCTTTCAAATTCTTACAAGAATTATAGCTATGATAGATCTCACAAGATCTGACAAAACTGTTCAAATCTTATCAAATCTTAAATAAGAATTTGTAAGAATTTCTGTGTTAAGCCGGATTTTACAAGATTACTATCTTATATTTCTTGTATAATCATGTGAAATCATGAAAAACCTTATAAGATCTTGCTGGGATTCTTTACAAGGGTCACCCCAGGTATGCTGACAGTCATTGCGGAAGAGAATAAGATGAATCCAAACTCGAGTCTAAACTACATACACAGCCAAGAATTTTACTTTGAATCATGACTGATATCAATACTGAGGATCAGCCTTGATACATTCCTGTATCATGGATTTTGGGTAGCCTGCAAAGCAATGAGTCTAGCACGGTATAATACAGTCATGCATAACCATCCATGATACAACCATGCTGGAGTACAGCCCTGGTTCAGCCAGATCTGGCTGAACAGACATCATTCAACATTGATGCTAGTCAGGGTGGTATCAAAATAGACATCAGGCTTGAATCATACTGGAGCTGATCACTGATGAGTCCATGGTGGGCTGGCTTAGTCTGTGTCCTAACAAAGATGAAGCAGACCATTTTCATGTCAGGGGTTGAAAGTTGAGACACCAATCTAAAAGTGGGAGGCTCATTTTCATTAATTCAATTATGTTTAAAATAATCTAAACTCCTTAGCCAAATCGAAGTTATCAGTAATTTACTTATGTAATAATAAGCAATGAATTGAGGCAGCTGTTATAACACTAATAAGCTAGCTAAATAACATCCTCTAATAACATGAGTAATTAAAAGTGAGGGCAGTGCCCCTCCTGCTGCATGCAGGATGCAGCAAAAGTGGGGGGTTCTGCCCCTTCATCAAAACTGCCGGCTCAGTCACCCTTGCCCCCCCCCAGATTCTCAACCACTGCATGTTGGAGAAGAAGCTGAGAGCTGCCCAAGAAGAGAAGGAGCAGTTGAAACTTCTGGCGGAGAGTGGTGCTGGAAATGAATCAGCGGGAGAAATGGAAGCTCTGGAAAAAGATCTGACGTCGCAGAAGGAGAGCGATGGAAAGTGGATTGTCGTGTCTGAGATCTATGGTCTGAGCTACCGTCGGAGGGAACTGCCTAAGCACAACGGCTGCAGGCCGTTGAACTAGAGAAACAGAAGTGGGAGGCCAGGGAAGCTCAATGGCTTGAAGAGAAGAGCGAGCTGGAGGCGAAGGAACCATAGATATGTCTATGCTGGACTGAGGTACCGATGAACCATAGATACTACCAGTATCTATGCATGGATGAACCATAGATACTATGGATGAACGGACACCGTGGAGACGTCGATCTCTGAAGACAGGGACATATGCAGGGACCGAGGGAGCGGCAGAAGGATCTGTTTTCCCCATTCATGATGCTCAACAGTTACCAGTGCTGCCGCACTTTAAAGGAGCGAAGGAGGATGCTGAAGAAGACTCGTCTGAGGAGTGGGTTGACCGCTTCAAGGAAATGGGAGTCTGTTCAAGTGTAGATGTGACGACCATAAAAAAAGTTAACACAGGTCCCGCTAGATTCTACTACAAGTACAAGTCTTACAGTGAGTCTGAGAAGAGGAGCTATGATGCTCTGAAACCAGCTCTTGCTAAACCTTTTCGACTGACAGCAGTATATGTTTCATCAGGGGAGACAAGGTTTGAACGAGTCAGTTGATGAGTATGCTTAAGAGTTGAGGAAGTTATTCTATAAAGCATATCCCCCAACCTATCATGGCTATGGGACTCCAGAATCAGAATCATTAGGGAAGAGTGTTAGCTATCTCTAATCAATTTGCTGTAGAAGGGAATTTCGAGGAGTTGGTGTGTAAGGCTCGCTTGAAGAGGCAAAGTGGAAGGAGAGAAACCTTGGGACAGAAGAGAAACCAAGGGGAAAAGAAGCCTCCATGCAAGGAAGCCTAGTGATGACTCTGAAGAGAAATAAAGGGGGCTACAAGTGCCATCGATGTGGCAGTACACAACACTTTATTTGTACTGTCCAACAAAAGAAGCCAGAGGTGCTGAGAGTGAGGACTCTAGCAAATATGGAAATCACGTGGTTCAACTCCATGTCAGTCTCCAGTCCATACAATACTACAAAGAAGTCAGTTTCTCTCTTTCTCGTACTTGTTAACGTTTCATGTTCCTTTGTTTTCATTAGGTGAACATGCTGTCTGGAACATGATGTGCTCTACTAGCTTCAATTGGCTCCTGAACTGATTCTGTGTCCTCTGGTTGGAGTCTTATTTTGGAAATGGTAGGTTCATATTACATGTACTATAATCTTGCTATGTCATCACGACAAGACTATAATTTCCCCCCCCCCTGTGCCTCCCCTTGCATGATTAATATTGTGTTATGTCTGCGCATATGTCACTTCATGTAATGGTGCATTTACGTTTGCTTTTGACTGTCTGTATACACATTTGTTCCCTAATTAAGATTGGTTTAGAACTTGCTCTTTGTGTGTCTTGTGAATTTTAAGATTCAAATTTAAATTTTAAATATTCAATTTTAAAATAAAATTTAATTTTAAAATTTACAAGTTGTTTGTCCTAATGTTATGATAAGATCATGTTAACTTGTATTCCTTTTCTTTTGATTAGGAGAGACTGATATAATCTGCCCTGCTAACTGTGATGGCCAGTCATGA